TTATTCATGGCGCAAAATAATAGTAAAAGTGTCGTCGTCTCTCTGTGATTGTCCATTTGAAATTGTTTAAACTCGTTACTATTTTGGTTTATAATATTAAGTTTGGACTTAAATTATCAAAGTTTTGTATTAATCATGTGACAAAATTCTAGCTCAATATAAAATATGTAAAGAATTCCGTAGATTCGGGCCAATGGTTAAATTTTACCCAGAACCGCAACCACAGAATCGGGCACTCTTTGCACTTTGGTGAAATTAGAAGTTAAATAGACATTGGTGATGGCTGTCGTTTCAGCGGCATTTTTCTTTCAGTGCGAAATGTTGACATTTAAAACTGATCTTTGATTGCAGCGTTGTCTCTCAACGTTTTTGTTGACATCAATATATATAGTCTATTTATTTCTGTTTGAATTTGAGAATATATATCCGTATATCTATATTTATTTTTATTTTTCTAGTAGGATAAAAATATCTGAATTAATATAATATATTGTTCATTTTATTTTGTTTAAAGCGGGTGTATGCGTGGAGTCGATGCGCAGAAAACGTATTTACGCAGTTTGCTTTGAGTCGTCGAGCGTTTAACATCCGGTTTGTCTAGTCGATGTAAAAGGCGCAATTTTTCATTAATCTAAGTTATTTAGCTCCATCGGGGGAAATATTAATTAAATACGATACAGAATAAATGTTACATGGGGGGATTTACATTTTTGTCTTATACTTTAAGTTATATAGATTTTTATTTTGTAAACCGTTATTTTCCTACTATATCTTGTTGACAGTAATTAATCTTTGCAGCTGTAAGAAACTATTTTTACATCCTTTTATTTTCCTCTTCAAAGAAAATATTAATAAGTTCAAAGAGAATTGATAAACTTTCAAATTAGAATTTACGTCAACGTTTCGTTCATTGCGAAGAAAATCTGATTGTTCGGTAGTCTTACGGGATTCAAGTTTCATCGGTTTTGAGGATTAGATCAATAACTCCTCGGATTAGACAGTTTGAGAAAATATTCATAGCATAATACGGTGTAGATGTGAACAGTGGCTAGCGAGCAAATAAATGTTTCAAGGGTCACTTCCGATTATTCAAAACATATTATGGGACCTTACCCATAATAACATAATGGACTATTTCATACGTAATAAATACTGCGCCTCAAGAGGAAGCTAAGAGTTCAGCCTGAAGTCGGGCGACCGGCTGATCGGCTGATCGGTTGAACTCTCTCCCTTCGGGCGGGGAGGAACCCGAACGAGTCTACGCCGAAGGGCGGAGTCTCTTTCGGGGAGGTAAACCGACCCTGAACCCGTTTATACGGGTTCAAAGGGCATATTTTTGGCCGAGCCCACGGGCTCACGAGAGATCCCACGTTAAACCGGCCTTGTGATCCCACATGATGCCCTCCCTCGTGGTGGGGTGACTAAATATCTGTTCAGTCTGAAGTCTGGAGTGAAGTCCGTCCTGTCAGTCAGTCAGATCAGTCGAGTCAGTCAGTGGAGTCAGAGGCAGTCCGAAATAGAGTACTACTAAAGCTGATTGTTCGTACTAACACTTTTCTACCTCTCTGTATATATTCTTGTTTCAATATATTTGTGTTATTCCATATCCGTGTTTGAGTTCTTCCTTAATGGTTCTAGCGTGGACTATCACCGTGGTACAAGCAACCGGACCATAACAAAAAGTAAAACTGAAAAAAAGAATGGATTCCTCTCTAGATCCTTCAACCCCACCGCTATGAGTTAAATACCAAGACAAGTTGAGATCTTTAGCTGGGGATGGCAACCAGACTTAGTGAAGGATAGCCCATCCACCTGAAGCTGTACAACTATGACCTCACTGTAGAGTGATTATCCAGAATTTTATTGTTGTGTCAACAGATGGTGCCGGGAAATATAGACAAAATAACAAAGCCATTCTAATTAATCCTGTATAGATTTAAAGGCGTTTGACATGAAATTAAGAAGATTCAAGAATATAATATAATTATTACTACTGAAATAAAGTAAGAGAAAAGCCAAAAACGTTGTCCGATGGAATGGTTTTGTTTGGTTTGTTTTTGTTTTACGGTATATCAACCTCAATGGGTCATTTAATACAGACAAAAGTTTTATTGCTGGCAATATGTTTCTCTTCAAAAGTCTATTTCTGGGAATATTTGTCTTTGAAGAAATTTATAGCTGGTCATATTTTTTTCAAGAATATAAAACTGTTTGTATTGCTGTCATTTTTTTTTTATTTTAAAGTATTGCTGATAATATTTTTTTTTTTCAAAAATTATTGCTGGTAATATTTTTTTCTATTATTATTATTACGAAGTATTTCTTGTATTAAAACCTATTTTTATGCAAGTTTTAGTGTTAACTATTTGCCTATAGCCGGGACCCCAGCAGGTGCCACCACCCCAGGTCAGGATGGAACCGGGAACACCAGCAACCAAGAGACGGTTTCCACGCTCCTCAAAATCTCTTTATCAGAGTCCCTGCTGTTGGATGTAGTTTA